GCAGTCAGCAGAAGGACTACGGGCAAGTTACTCGAATGGAACCAGGTAAACAATTGTGTTTGCGCAAATCAACTTCGTAATTGCATTATATGAGGTAAACGTCCCCATCGATTGAAGCATGGAGGCTATCAAAATATTTTATAGACAACTTTCACCTACACAGCTATAAACATGAATACAGTGATTGCGTTACATGGTCTCAAGGGGCACTTTTGTGGCATATTTTGTCTGAGCAATATTTGTGAGCGGCATAATCAGCTGTGCGCGATCAGTCTTTAAAAAGATATTAGTTATCGATTGTAAACGTTTCATCCAGATGTTCAATGAGCGGAAGACCATCTTAGATCCAAGGTGATCGCGCCACAGTATGTAATGGAAGACTCGCAGCATTGTGAGCACGTTATTCGATTTGAAGCGGTGACGTTGTCTGATTTCGCGAGCTCTCAACGAAGCATTCAGCTTCGAAGTCATTTACCCGTCGCCTACAATATACATTAAGCCAAAAAGTGCTACCAAGACGATTCGGATCATCTCCCACCAGAGACAAATAGAGATAATGGGTCAAAAGCCAATGGAATTAGAAACAGGCAACTACAATTCTAGCTTGTGTGAAATGTTGTTACAATGGGTACCAAATAGCAAAGCAAGAGTTGATAATGGCGGAAGTCCATTCATTCCCGTCTTGTATACCCGGACCATCGCTGCTGTTTCTATAACCACTGTAACTAATGTGAGATGCAACGCTGCACGGATGTACAGCAAATCGCTGGGTCTCCTAACTACGGCCCACACTTCAAAGAAAGACACTCAGAAACCACTGCATGCCCTATCTATAATATGTACCAACGTTCTTGAGTCAACATCGAATTGTTTGAAGGGGAAACAGGTGAATGACCTGAACCAATGGAATGCCATAAGTAACGTCCTCGGTATTCCGACTAAACCCCCCAACTTGAGGAGGATCACCCGCCACCGGAGTTCCAAGCATTATGGCGAAGTCAGGCTTCTTCGGGTTGTGCTAAACTCTGTCGATGAGGTGGAAGCAGCGTTGCTTTCGACTGTTCGTTTCCAGAAAGAAATCGGTCGGGTCCGCGTCTTTTCAAACGTTCTCTGGAGCGAGCGAGGCAGAGCTTAGAAGAGTTCCGGCTAAACGCCAGAGCCAGAGCCATTTTTGTCCACGGTGTTCCCCAGTCTCACGAGCGCGATGAATGCGAGGCAAAGGCACACGATCTGGAGCAGTGGCGCTATATTTGTGAGACCCTACTCCTGAAGGACGTTGCTGCTACTTCACTCTCGAGGCTGCCAAGATCAGAAAATTACAAAGGATGCGGCCCAAGGATAATTATGGTTGTGTTACAAACTATGCAGATAGCACGTACGATACTGGAACGCTGGCATTCACTTCGGAGCAAACTGCCAACCGAGCAGGCAAACGAATTAGGGATCTTATCCGAAATTCACACCGGGAGCAAGTCTGAAGGAAAGGTCTTCCTGTGCAATCCAGCAGCCACTCCACATGCATTGTTGTTGTCAGAGGGGCTAATCACAATGCCACCGAACCCGACTCCAAGAGTCTAGCTGATAATACCACAAAAAACGGCTAGCGGCCAAACATACAACAGTCAGTACAACCTATCATCCTAGCCACAAGTGTATCGGATCTTTGCTGAGAAGCGAAACACTTTCCTGCACGTACACGAATGCCCAAGGCCTCCTCAGCTAAAACCCCGAGCTTCGGTTGCGCAAAGCAACAAACGCTTGGAATCTCATCCCCATAACCGAGAATTAGTTGCACTCAGGAATAACGGATGCCGAGATCGCGACTCAGGCTATGTCCTTGTTCCAACACGATCGTCCCAGCAGGAGGTAGTGCTATGCTACACTATTGAAACGACCTACAATGCGAACCACTGGATGATCCAGAGACGCGGGTCACCGATTCGCTATGGTGCCGTTTGCGTCTCAGATACAACGACAACTGCTTCGTGGCAGTCGTATGTCGCTCCCCATTGTCCACTGCAGAGATGGATATCCAGCTAACATCATCACTGACGAAATGCTTACTCCCAACTTACAGCCACGTTCTTATTTCCGGCGATTTCAATGCGCACGACTTGCAAAGCTCGGCATCCCTCAGCGAAACATACAAGGCCAAACTGCAAGACCTCATCGCAAGTATCCCGCTGTACAATCACATCAGGTCACCTACCAGGTACAGAGCTTATAACAAACCATCGGTACTTGACTTCGTCCTTACAAATGAGGAACTCATGATCGACAGGTCATTTATAGACACCCCACTAGGGTTAAGCGATCATGTCACCATACTTTGTAACTATGTATGTTATGCTGAATATCCGGAGGAACACACAGAACTAACATATACTATCACACATTACAACATCCTGAATAACCTAATTGAGACGACCGATTGAAAGGTGGCTCACCTGGCAGCGCCTAGATTCAGTTTTTTGAACGCTTCAGAAATCTAATCACAACTGCTTCGGAAACAAAGAGGGTTCGCTCCACCATCAGAAGTAGAAGTCGCAAGCGCATGTCAAGAAGGAATGCAGCTTGGAACATATACAGAGCTCGTCCTTGTCCCGAAACCTGGAGCGATTACGTGACCCAGCGCAACCACTGTATCATGCTGATTTGTGAGGAAAAACTGACTCATCAACAACATTTGGCCTGTAAATTTACCAACAAAAAGCCCCTATGCAAGCATATTAATACCATGCTGAAAGTAAGGCTCGGTATCCCCCCTTCATTTAACACGCCAGTCAGAGTAGCACAGAGTGCCGAAGAGGCAGCCAACGCCCTACGAATGCAGTATGCACTAAATTTTCAAAGAGACGTCCGCCAGTTACATACCCACACCACTATCCCCAACTTCAGCACTCACTAACATCGATTTTACTGCCGCAGCTGTGTTAAAGAAACTGCTCTCACTACGCACCTACAGCTCTCCAGGAATCGACTATATTCACCCAAGGGCGCTGATTGTAGCAGCAACAACGTTGGCCGGGCTATTATCGCATTTCTTCCAAACGTACTTGGATAAACAACTTGTGCCTACCATGTGGAAACAGGGCGTAATCACCCCAATTTTTATAATGGGTAAACTCTCGGAACCCGCCAACTTTCGCCCAATGGTCCTCTTCCCTTTCCTCTCAAAGGTGATGATGCTGAGGTTTTAGTAGATCATCTAGAACACCACAACATCATAGCACCCGAGTAACACGGTTTCCTCGAGCACTGTTCATACACTACCAACCTACTGATTCCACGCAGTAGTTGGACGGAAGCAGCCGATCAAGGCAGAGGGACAGACGTTATTTACCTCGACTTCTCCAAAGCCTTCAACCGACTGGACTACTGCATTCTGCTTCACAGCCTCGAAAGATATGGAGTTGGTGATCTAGTCCTTGGATGGATCAGGAATTTCCTGCAGCATCGGCAACTGCAGGTCAGAGTTCGAAGTGCGCTGTCCGATCCGAGATGTGTCGAATGTGGAGTTCCACAAGGATCAGTTCTGGAGCCGCATCCGTTTCTCGTGTTCATTAACGAGCTTACGCCTTTGATTGCTTCTGATTTCTTGCTGTTCGCTGACGATGTTAAGATGTGGCAGACGATCGCCGACCCAGCAGATCATGATACACCTCAGCGAGACCTGGACAGAGCGTATGGGTGGTCACTCCACAATCTGCTCCAGTTCAATTAGGGGAAGTGTAAGGTGGTTCACATTCGCCACCAGCCGAACATCAGATACAAGCTTGGAGACCATGTCCTGCAAGCAGTCACCCAGGAGCGAGACCTTGGGGTACTAGTTCAGGCTGATCTGGGCTGCTCAGAACAATCTGAGAAGGCGTCAAAGACCGGGAACCAACACGATGGCATGCTGCGAAGGTCATTTGGGCGATTTGATCCCTCTGACTGTACGCAGTTGCTTAATAGCTACGTGCGGCCTCATGTGGAATACGTGATCCAGGTGTGGCAGCCGTGGAACAAGCAACACCTTGCAGCGCTCGAAATTTCACAGCGACGAGCCACGAGGCACGTCAAAGGGTTATTCAATCTTTTTTATCAACCTAGACCGAGGCCCCTAAAATTATACAGTGGCCGGTACCGGCGCCAACGCGGTGACTTTATTATGGCCCACCAGATTCTAAAGAACCCCAACCACGTCTGCCGTCACCCACTTCAACTGAGCCACAACACAAATTTGAGGGGCAACCAGATCAAGTTAGCCACACAATAAAGTCGGTTAGAATGTCGATGGAACTATTATTCTCTTCTTGTGTCAGCCATAGAACGCCCCCGCCCCCAAAGTACGTTGTTTCCGCCCCCACTTTACCTGTGTTTAAAAACGCCTTGGTGTTGAACTAACCCATCCACACTACGAGCTATAGCCTGTGTGTCCCAACAGATGATATGATAGGATGAATGTTGTATAACCAGAACTAACCTACACAACTGCGGTCGGCCCTTTCTGCGTGCTTCTGTGTGAACACTGTGGTGAGTTCACCAAAACGATTTTCATGTTATCTCCTTGTTTTCTACTCACCAAGTTGTTGTCCTCTTTCTGGCCATCCTACAGGACTTACAAAAAGCATCCACTTTTTTACCCATAATATACCGTTGTTCCATTGGTACATTAAATAGACAAGATGTTCGGTAGATAACCATGAAATAACGGAATGTCAACCAAGATTTCCTTACTTAGGGTACGAAACCGAATACAACATTGAGTTGTTAAGCCAGCGACTATCGCTGAGTTCTTAAGTTGGATCAACGCAGGTACAGTGGATCAAGCAGAGGACGGTGAAGTACGTAATGTTACCAACGGTTTAACTAATGACCATGAGTAATTGTTGTATTGCATACGATTCCCACGGCAGTTGAAATGATAATAAAAATTAGGAAAGCTGTAAAATTCGCCACCAGAAATCACAGTCCACTGGGTAAGGAAGTAAACAAGAGATAAGTGGTTAACTCACATTTCATGATTTTATTGAAGTTCAACACACCATCCAAGGTAGAGACTATCATGGGTGCGATATCCTGTGGGACCTTTACAAAAGCATAACCGCGTGACCTCAAAGTCTAAAAATAGGGCAACACAACAGATAAGATATTAGCACGACGCAAAAGATACTTTGATGGGATTGAATAACGCAAGAATGAGTGTACAAAAAGGAAACATAAAGAGAGAAGAAACTAGGACACTATGTTATATCGAAGAGTTGATTTAAGCTTCAAAAGACACGGAATTAAAAGTACTCGAGAGTATCAAAAAACTTTGTCGGCCGAGTTAAAACACTTCCGAACTCAAATTTGCTAACGGCTTAAAGGAAGAGATGTGGAGATGAACTTGTTTTATTTGTTTTTGGCAAGTATAAGACTAATTGTGGATTTTTGTGAGTGGTGTAAAGTTCGTAGAAAGTAGAAGTCACGATTAAAATTCACACACAATGATGTGCCTCGACGGGAAATCGAACCCCGGCCCAACGAATTTCCGGTCCGCTGCTCTACCACTGAGCTACCGAGGGCTGACGATTAGATGCGCAATTTTTAATACATGACTTCACGTCACTTCCCAATGGACCGAATTATCTGTCCTTCAGATGTCCAAAGGGCGATGGTAGATTAATTGTGGAACACTTGGTATCCGTAAGTCTGAAGACACTTGGAATCGGGCTCACCCCGATAAGAAATTGGTACGGTGAGCCCTGTCACAAAGCAAATGACAGGAAGCAAAGATTAGTGGATGCACTCTGTGATATATATTTTGGACGCTAATCCCGTGTTCAGTCCAGCTAAGGCCGATATAGCAAACAGCTAATGGCAAAGAGCAATTGCTTACATTCGATCGGTGAAAGAGGAAGGTGCTCTGACAAAGGACATTGAAAATCGGAAGCTATAGTTACTTTTTACGAGGTTGTCCAGCTTGTATAGGACAGTCTTCAGCTCAGTCGATAAACAATTACCTGCGCGCGGAGGCGCAACAGTGCCAGCTATCATGACGCACGTCATCCAAATGATAGTAGTGCCAATAGCTACGACAACAATTCGGGAGGAATGGATATTAACGGAAACCGCCAGCTGATGCAATCGAAAATCAGAAATGAGGAAACGAACGTGAGAACAATAGTGTATTCGCAAATACCACATACCCAATAACGAATCCAAACACTGGTGTGACCGATCTAAAGAACCGCGGCTGGAAAGATAATAAATGCCAGTTCTACTTTGCCGTGTAGTCAACTGATCATTTTGTCACTCCACTCAGTTAGGCGCAGTACCAATAAACAATATGCGATGCTTTCATCGCAGCAGCACTGGACGGAGCCAGCGGAAACAATTCGAGTTCAACAAGCATTCCAAAGAGGCACTAGAAGGGCTGGTGTCAATAACTGGATGTCGAACCTCACTCCGTAAACCGATCTCCCAACGGTTGACAGTGTTTTCACTCTGACCGCGAATCCGGGTGATCAAAATGAAAGCTGATTACTTGCTGAAAGTATAAACAGATGGTTATGTCGTAAAAAGGCTTCCATAACGAGAGCGCCAATAAATGAGAAATGCACTTCAATAATCTCTGTAGTTCTTATCTTTACATCTCGTACTCTGCGAGGATAAACTTCATTCAATCTTTGGGCCATGTGGGCCTACACTACTGATTAAATCTGTATTACTCCAGCTCTTGGTCCTGCTCATTATGCTATCATGTACAACACTGCACTATTCTGATCACGCACAAAATGCGTGCCTCGCTTTTTCGAGAATAAAATATTTATTGATTTATTGATCAACCATAAGTTTCCCTCCTGATGCCAAATTACCACTTATTTGCCACAAATTCCTTGAATCCCCAGGCCAAACTCAATGGTATCTGCGTTAACCTCTTCACATTAATTACTACACTCCGTTGCTTTTTGTTATCCCCCATTCTCGTTCCAACTCTCCACGCTTTCACATGTGTTCATTTCCTTTAATAGCAACAGCGTCTACTTGCATGACTTTGCAGTGAGTCGTTCTGTAAGAACTCGTGTACCCAGCTTTTATGGTAACAGTTATACATGATTTAACGTTTTCAACAAGCTATCCTCTGTCCTGTTGCAATCTGTACACTTTTGCATTTGCAATACGTCTCTGTCTTGCTGTTTCTTTGGCCTCATTCTGTACGTCGCCCGTTTTCCTGAGAATTTCAGACACATCGGTTGGCACGTTCTGATCCGGGGAATGGCTCCGGCTGCTTGATACTCAACAATTCTGGCCCTTAATCTCATTGGCACACGGTTCGCTCATCTGGAAATGGATTGAAGATTATGCTATGGTTCATTAATTATGCCCATTCAGATATTAAAAGCATAACACTTGCGAAGAGAACTCTTTTCGGCAATTCACTTCAGGCAATCACATCCCCAGCGTTCGCTTTCCTGTAAGTTTATCTACTTGTAATTGTATTTGCCTGAAATGAATTGCCGAAAAGAGTTCTCTTCACAAGTGTTATGCTTCTAAGATGCTATGGCTATCACAACATACCTTTCGGACTGACTATTCGCCAACCGACAGTTGTCGCTCCCCAGGGACCCCATCATATCACAAATACAGTTGCAAATACTATATACTTGGATGGAAGGATATCTCAGTGGTTTTTAGGAAAAAGATTGATTACCTCAGAAACTCAAATGCATCAACCCTACTTGCTCCCCACTTCCAATTCGATTCCCGTCCGTCATGCTCAAAAGGATTCCAATTTTTACATCAATTAACACACTCTGATTCTTCACCCAGAAACAAATGTACCCAATTATCACCCTCAATATGTGTGCATATATCAGCACGGTAAAAGCTTACCAAATACTGGTTTTGCCTACACGTTTGTCTCTGATTTTTCCGCGCAACAGCCCCATCTCCGATTTCGATGTCATGACAATACGACAAGCGTCCATATGTAAAACCTGAGAATATCTTCATTCATACCATTTTCAATAATTCACCTGTACCATTTCTATACGATTATACATACTGTACCCATCAGATCAGGTGTGCTTCGTCCCGTCGAGAATAAACCATTCATGTATTTACTTAGTCGCTGTCACGCACAAAAATGCTAGTATCTGCGCCGCGCCGTAGACTCGAGAAAATTTTAGTCGCAAGTAATAGGCTGGTCTACGTCCAGGACGAAGCCGCAACAACCAAATCCTCGCGTTGCGTCAGATTCTTGAATAATGACATGTCCACCGAAGACCAACAATTAGAATAATTTTGAGTGTTGCAGTCATTTTTGTTACAGTAGATAGATTTACGTTATGAAACTGCTTATCAAGGAAGGTCTTATCCGACAAGACTGGTGCAATCCCGAAGAAAACTGTGTATTCGCAAATGGAACAAAGTTGGAGCTCAAGATAGATCCCCCTAGTTGCCTTCTGCTAACAGCAACGTAAACTAAGGCTGACATATCTCACTATTTCTACTAAACTTTCTCATTGAGGACGTTCTCTAATGACCGTGGAGTTAAGCTGATCGTCAGCGATAGAGTCGAGAGCTTGGATCATACACATATTCATCACCAACAGCAGTAAATTAGTTATGTGAACTGATGCTTCAACGCGGCACAACCACAAATCACAAAGATTAAGGAACAACAAGATGGAGAGAAGCGGAATTCCCTGAAAACATTAATGCCCTAAACAAACATTCAGGGTCAAGGCGACTACACTTAGTGTAGACAACATACTGTCACAAATAGCTGGCTATCGTGCAAGGATAAGGCGGCATCGGCGAGACAGCTTCCTTGCGGCTTTCACTGCCACGCGCCATAATCAGCCATTACCCCGCAAGTAACTCAGCAGCAAACACACTTTAAACAGGCAATCCAATTAGGAGACGGCAGCAGACGCGCCACTGGTGTCGGTTGTGAGCCATGTCCTGTAAAGCCTCGAGCCAAACACAAGGTGAGTCATGTGGACTCCAACCCGGAAGGCGAGACGGACCAACGGCACCCAGCTTGGTTGTCAGTGACTACATTTCCCGCTGCCAATTCAACTTCTGTCCACCTCGAGCTTTGCGCCACCCTACCCCAGGGAGACTGAACAAGGCCCTCCTAGGTAAGCGGTGACCAGGCATACGTAGCACGTGTCCGACCTAACACAAATTATTCAATGCTATCTTTTGTTCCAGGGAGCTATCATGATTAACACTACCTAGTACTCGCCTACGCACATCATCGTTGCGGTCACGCTGCTGTCATCCAACACCAGCAATGCTTCACAGACAACGATAATCAAAGACTTGAAGGTGCTTAAAGCTTCAGACCGAAGGGGCCAAGTCTCACTACCATAGAGCAGAACGGCCCTCACTGTGGCCTTGTATACACGACCTTTCAGACGGAGGGAAACACCCTTCTGTTGTCAAAGATGCTGCAGGTTAAAGAAGGCAGCTATCGCCTTTACAATGCGTGAGCTCACGTCAGTTTCTATGCACTCATGGTTTCTGTGGCAGCTGCCAAGATGAATTGATCAACCACCTCGAGTTCCTCGTTAGTAAGGGTCAAGGGGTCATAAAATGGCAGGTGGTTCTGCAGCAACGCTTTGCACTTTGAAGATGCGAAGTGCATACCAACTAATGGGACCACTCTAGAGAGGCTATTCAGAGTTGATTGTGCAGCCTCAACATGGTCGAAAAGCAAGACGATATCGTCCGCATAATCTGGGTCAACTAACCTTTCACCAGGCAGCACTTCAACGCCTACATCGTTGGATTCCGCGAGGGAACACCCCATGATAGAATCCACGACGAAAGTGAACAAAAAGGGGGATATCCGACAACCCTGACGAACGCCACTTGTAGTCGGAAAGCTATCCGATAGGTCACCGTAGACCCTGAAGCGACCTGGGGTGTTCAAGCATAGAGTACGAATATGTTCACATATTTCGTGGGAACACCTTTCCGCGCAATTATGTCGAACAGAATCGATCAAAAGACTGAAACGAATGCACTCTTGAAACCGAGGAACACAGCTACTGTCGGTCTGCGGTATGCATGGCGCTGCTCTAGCAACTGCAGCAAAGTGAATATATGGTTTATACAGCCACATC